AACTTCCTTAAAGCAATATTATATTAAGTGACAGCATTTAACAGACTCCAGAGGATAAATCAAGAACTTCAATACACCCAGTAAACATGGAAATGCCTAAAGCTCACAAAATGTGTGGACATTTCACAAACAAATCTGGACAAGCTTGGCTGATGTTGCTATATAGCTGCTGTGACTGTGCAGTATACTCTACTGAGCAACCTGTGTATCAGATGGCTCTCTTGTAGCCGTACCTCATCTTCTTCTCCTTGAAAGCCAATTTATGCAAAATAGAAAACTACAAAATTAGAATTGTAGCACTTAAGTGCTGCATTGATACAATTGGTACAATTTATCTTGCATCAGAAAGCCTGTGGGGACATAATCTGTCTCAATGCAAAAAAAAAATAAATTTGAAAGTCTGAGTCCTAGAGAACTCTGATCTGTATTATTTTCAGACAGATCAAATTCTGTAATATTTCAGAAACACATTGCTCATTCAGCAATGTAGCAATTTTTTTTTTGCTAAGATCTGGCAGGACAAGGAAGGAATAAAACAAGTGATTCCCAAACTGCAAGTGATTTTACTAGAAGGCGTAAACAAAGATAATCTATGGGTTTTTCTGTGTATTGAACAGCATGTGTAGCCTGAAGGTTTCCTTCTTTTGGCTTCAGACTTACACTATAATTTAATTAAGCCAGTTCTCTAAGGCTCTCCTGGTCTTCAGAGGAAACAAATTTGTACTCTGAAGAAGCATATCAACGAAATCATAATATGTTACCCTAGCAATTGGAAGTGCATCAACATAATAATCCATACTGTAATAACTGAAGTCACAGTTAAGTATTTAATCTTGTAAACTATCAAATGAACATAGCAAGCAATAGAAAAATTGAGGACAACATGATAAGAAAATGCTTTCCCAGTTCCTCTTTGTAAATTAAAGGAAAAGACAGTCCAGCAAGGAGAGGTGGTGGAGCTGCTCTTTATGTGAGACAGTAACTGGAATGTATGAAATTCTGCCTGGAAATGGATGAAGAATGTCAGAGGTTATGGTTAAGAATTAAGGGGCAGGCTAACATAGGTGACACTCTTGTGGATGTTTACTACAGACCCCTAGATCATGAAGAGGAAGCCAATTAAGACCTTCTACAGATAACTGGAAATAGCCCCATGATCACAGACCCTGGTTCTCATGGGGGAATTCAACTACTGTGTTACTTGCTGGAAAGGTAGCAGAGCCAGGCTTACACAGCCTGAGAGGTTTCTGCAGAGCACTGATGGTAACTTTCTGACACAGGAGAGGTGTGCTGCTGGATCTTGTACTAACAAAAAAAGGACTGGTTGGGAAAGTGAAGGTTGGGGACAGCCTTGGCTGCAATGACCACGAGATGGTGGAATTCAAGTTTCTCCATGGAAGAAACGGGGCAATAAGTAGGATTACAACCCTGGACTTCAGAAGAGTTAACTTTAGCCTCTTCAAAGACCTACTTGGTCTTTGGGTTACGGCTCTAGAAGGTAAGGGTGTCCAAGAGAGCTGGTTAATATTTAAGCACCACTTCCTCCAAGCTCAAGATCTGCATCCCTATGAGTAAGAAATCAAGCAAAGGAGGCAGGAGACCTGCATGGATGAGCAAGGAGCTTCTGGAAAAACTCAAATGGAACAAGAAATTTTGCAGAATGTGGAAAAAGGCACTAGCCACTTGGAAGGAATATAAGAACGTTGTCAGAGTATACAGGGATGCAACAAGGAAGGCTAAGGCCCTTAGAATTAAAATTGGCAAGGGACATCAAGGACAATAAGAAGGGCTTCTTCAAGTTCATCAGCAGTAAAAGGAAGACTAGAGAAAATGTGGGCCTGCTGCTGAATGAGGTGGGTGTCATGGTGACGGAGGATGCAGAGAAGGCAGAGATACTAAATGCCTTCTTTGATTCAGTCTTTATTGCTATGGTCAGCCCTCAGGAATACCAGACCTTGGAGGTAAGAGCAAAATTCTGGAGAAAGTAGGAGTTTCCCTCACTTGAGGAAGATGGGGTTAGAGATCATTTAAGAAAACTCAACACCCACAAATCCATAGGTCCCAATGGGATCCACCCACGAGTTCTGAGGGAGCTGGGAGACATTATTGCTAAGCCACTCTCCATTATCTTTGAAAGGTCATGGAGAACAAAAGAAGTGCCCGAGGACTGGAGGAAAGCCAATGTCATCCCAGTCTTCAAAAAGGGCATGAAGGAGGACCCAGGAAACTACAGGCAGTCAGCCTCACCTCCATCCCTGGAAAAGTAATAGAACAGGTCATCCTGGATGTCATCTCTAAGCATCTAGAAGAAAAAAAAAGGTCATTGGGAGCAGTCAGCATGGACTGACCAACGGAATCATGCTTGACCAATCCGATAGCCTTCTACGATGGCATGACTGACTGGGTGGATGAGGGGAGAGCAGTGGACGTCGTCTACCTCAACTTCAGCAAGGCTTCTGACACAGTCTCCCATAACATTCTCACAGGTAAGCTTAGGAAGTGTGGGTTAGATGAGTGGGCAGTGAGATGGACTGAGAACCAGCTGAATGGTGGAGCTCAGATGGTTATGATCAGCAGCACAGAGTCTAACTGGAGGCCTGTAACTAGCGGTGTTCCCCCAGGGTCAGTACTGAGTCTGGTCTTGTTCAACATATTCATCAATGACCTGGATGAGGGGACAGAGTGTACCTTCAGCAAGTTCACTGATGACACAAAAACTGGGAGGGATAGATGAGACACCAGTGGTGCCCAGCAACAGGACAAGAGGCAACAGGCACAAACTAGAACACGGGAAATTCCCTTGAGGAAAAACTTCCCCACTTTGAGGGTGGCAGAGCACTGGAACAGGCTGCCCAGAGAGGTTGTAGAATCTCCATCTCTGGAGGCATTCAAAATTTGCCTGCGCACAAGCCTGTGTAACCTGCTCTAGGTGAACCTGTTTTAGCAGGGGGCTTGACTAGATGATCTCCAGAGGTCCCTTCCAACCCCTACCATTCTGTGATTTTGTAATTTACTTTCCATTTCACACTACAGCCATGGAAACAGGAAATACAACACATTTCCTTATGTAATAAGGAATACCGAACCTTCAGACCACTGCCTACCCCAGTTTAGGCCCCCAAATGTAAATGGCCAGAGCAAGAAACAGCCCTCTGCTTTAATTTAAAAGCATTCATAAATCTCTCCTTGCCTTGAGGACAGCACTTCGTACTCCCAAGGCTCAGGCCATCACATCATTAATTCTACCTTGCCCTCCACAACAAATATTTCTGGAGTGACAGGTGGTAACTAAGTAGTACAGGCCCCAAAGCCTTTACCACAGGCAGAATTGAGAAATTCAGTTTTACCTTTTAACAGGCAAATGATAATGCAACAGACAAATATATAGTCAAATGCAGCAGAAAAATAAGTATCTGTTTAATTCCCTGCAAACTAACGTTAGTGAAAGCAGGCAGCAGAAACATGGGTAAAAGCATTGCAAGGCAGGTAAGTCACAATTCACTTGGTCAAAATCTTTTGCCTCCTCTTCTCCTTTATAATCCTTCAGGGAAGGACTCTGCTCGATTAGCTAATTTCCGCTTTGTATGGTCTTTTTCAATAGAAATCATGCCAGCTTTCCATTGTCTGAGGTTCCAGTTTTATGGCCTTGGGATATTAAAGTAAATTCAGCCAGTTTAGATAAAGCTACTGTAGCCCTGTCCTGTCACTGTGTAATAATTACAACACTCTAATCAATGTAGAAAGACTTCAGTGCAGTTTTACAAGATGCACTATATTACACTGCAGTCAAAGGCTGTAAAAGACAACTTATGAGAAATTAATATTCTTCAATACTTACAGTCTCCATGTTTACAGCTGTGCCTTTCCATGCAAGGCTGAAACCATCTCTCCTTTGCAGACTCCAGAGTGCCTCTGGAGCACCAGCAAACTAGGTTTGCCTCTTTCTTCTCCTTCTTTGTATATATTATCAGGATGCAACTATTCAACTGCTCCATCTCAATTCCTCAGTGTAGATTTGTATTTTATGTTCTCCTTCCTCCTCCCCTCCCATCCAAAAAAAAAATAAAAATAAGGCTTGATTACATGTGTAACTGAAGACTATACATCCCAAATAATATCTATCTTCTCTTCAAGTCACATACTATAGTCCAGCAAACATGCTTTCCCAATGCCTAATAAAATATCACAGGCTTTGTATTTACCTGAAATTGCAGGGTCTCAGCACTTCTCTTGGGCTGAGCTAATTTCAGTAGCGGTTATAATTGTCTAAAGTCAGGGGACAGTTCCCTAGACTGTTTTAACTGCATTCTATGGGCATCCTATATGCAAAGGTCTGTCAAGCTTACATAGTCACGGCTTAACAAACAGTCTGTATATTAACCGTGGCCAAGGGAGGCTAACTATGAACTTTGACTAACTGCTAATGGGTGAAAACAGTCAAACCTTACCTGGGAACCAAAAGAAAGACCAAGTAAGCAGACTGTTACAAAATAGAAGAGTTCTGTAACCACATTAGAAAAGAAAAGTGTCGTAGTAGTGCCAGTACCCCACTGTAAAACAGTATCAGCAAAAAGACAGGGAGAGCTTGTTTCATTTTCAAGGAAAAGCCATGCAGCTGTAATACCATGAGTTTGACAGCTCATCAGATGGCAGTGCTCAGAAAAGTAGAGGGGAAAAAGAAGCTTTCCTTCTTTCCTTCCAATCTAACCATATGAGGTTGAATTAGATTTAACCAAGCCAGCCAGACCAACTGGCTCTGGAATCAGAGCTGGTCTTCATGACACATTCAAGTAAGCAACTCTTACCTGTACCTTATCCAAGGTTTAAGCACACAGAAGTGGCGACATCACTGCCAAGCAGGTGACTTTTGAAACCCTTTCTCAGAAAGGTTAGGAAAAAATCATGGTCATTTGCAAAGGCTTATACCACTAACTGTTCCATAAAGAGCTCATTTTCTGCAGATTTGTCTTTAGGTAACACATTAAATAAAAATACATTAATACAATCAAAGGCTGCACTTGTGTTAATGAATAAACAACTTGTTATATTTGCTTGATTTGTTACATTCAACTTTAAAGAAAAACACATTCAAGGCTGAGGTGTAAAACTGAGGTGTAAAACATCACCATACTCAATCTGCATCAGTTTGATGTATACAGCATTATGCCTACTTGGCATACATAATGAAGACATTTGGGCACCACGGCTCATTTAAGAAGTCACTTGCACACCACTTCCAACCCCAATAACAAATGCTATGTAGGATCCGAATGAATGCACATGTTAAGTTCGCCAATTTGAGCATTTTAACTTCTACGTATATTCCCCTTAGCAGTAGTGAACCGTGTTTTATGCTATTTACCATATTAAAGTTTGCCACTTCTATAAAACTTTCTCATAGTTTTTACTAATGACATTAAGCTATTTAACTACACCTTTCACTAACCTTCTTGCGCTTTCAGGCAACTAGTGCCCCTCAGCTATTTCAGTGAGTATGTATCTCCAGTCCTGGGGCTGTATTCATGTTAATCTTATCTTTAACAGGTGAAAGGCAAAGCTGTAAATTTCAGGACAAAACCAAACTCGATATTTAGAATTCTGTCTCTGGTGTAACTTCCAAGGTTTTTGATTCATGTCTTCTAGAATGTTTCAAATCATAGGCCCACACAGTGTCTATTCCCTCTCCAGTAGTATGATCCGGGATCCAAGAAGGGAAAGGAAAACGACAGGCAATGATTCTGGCATTACATTCAAGTTCTTCTTCTAGCTTCTTCTTCAACTGTGGCATCTGTTGAGCAACAATAAAAAGCTTACAGAAGGAGTAAAAAACAGAGACATTCTCTTTAGAATCTAGATAAAGTCCAAGATTTGAGGAATTTTGGAAAAAAAATTAGGAAAGTACTTATTATATACGTTTTGGCTTTGACGCATTGACAAAGAATATCTAAAACTAGAAAATTGTTATTGTGCCCTAACTGGTGAAATCAAGGAAAATGTAACTCTTAAGTTCTAAAAATTCAATCAAAACCTACAGATATTCCCTTACATTAAAAAAAAAACCAACCCATAAACAAAGACTTTACATGTTTCAACTCATGATTCTCTTCAGTAGGATTCTCCTCTATAGAGAATGAAAGTTCAGCCGCCTGAATTTATGCTATCTATGACAACCCAAGTCATATACACTATTATGTGATAGTCAAAGGCCAATGCCTCTCATAATACCCAGCCTAACCCCAAAACAGATCCTGCAATGCTCCAAACATCATATGGCCAACAACTCAAAGCAAACATTCTGCTGTCACCATATGGTAAAGTTCTGCTATGTTACATACTATTGAAATTAAGCCTTGTTGGTTCCTGTCTGTCAATATATGTGTGTCAATCCCTGCAACAGCACTGTATGAAATGGCTTATAGACTCATACAATGGTTTGGGTTGGAAGGAACCTTTAAAGTTCATCTAATCTAACCCTCATGCAACAAGCAGGGACATCTTCAACTAGGTCAGGTTGCTCAGAGCTTCATCCAACCTGACCTTGAATGTTTCCAGGGATGAGGCATCCACCACTACTCTGGGAAACCTGTTCCAGTGTTTTACCACCTTCGTCTTAATAAATTTCTTCCTTGCATCTAGTCTGCATCTACCCGTTTTTAATTTAAAACCTTTACTCCCTGTCCTATCACAATTGCTATAAGCACCCTTTAAGTACTGAAAGGCCACAATAAGGTCTCTCCAGAGCCTCTTCTCCAGGCTGAACAACTCTCTCAGCCTGTCTTCATAGGAGAGGTGTTCCAGCCCTCTGATCACTTTTGTGGCCATCCTCTGGACCCATTCCAACAGGTCCATGTCTTTCCTGTGCTGAGGGCTCCAATGCTGGATGCAGTACTCCAGGTGGGGTCTCACCAGAGCAGAGGGTCACTTCCCTTGACCTGCTGGCCACGCTTCTCTTGATGCAGCCTAAGATGCAGTCAGACTTCTGGGCTGTGAACTTCATGGGCGTGAGGGTGCACTCAATCCCACTGTCTATGTTATTGATGAGGAGATTAAACAGTAGTAGTCCCAATAGGGGCCCCGTGGGAGACACCACTCATCACCAATCTCTATCTGGACATTGAGCCATTGACCACTATTCTCTGTATGCAACCATCCAGAAATTCCTCTTCCAGCAAACAGTACACCCATCAAATCTGTACCTCTCAAATTCAGAGAGAAGGATACTGTGGGGTACCATGTCAAATACCACTACATAACTCTCCTTGGTTGAAGAGCTACAGTCTAGCTTTCCTCCATTTGAAAAAATGAGCAGATATGAAAGCTGAGAGAAATATCACTAGTCTTGCAGAACAGAGCAACACCCTGCCAAGTCAGATACTCTATCTCCAATAAGTACTTTCAATTTCTGCTATGGATTAAATGAGAAATGAATTAACACATCTAGACTTCAAAGAAATTTCTTTCCCAACCCAGACAGTGATTAGGTTTTGGAAAAAAATGAAACTTGATAGATTTAGCCATTTTCGTCCTTTAGAAAAGTCTGATGTTACGCTTAAGTAGATCAGTGCACATCCATTTGGAATTCCTTTTATTCTTACATACTGTAGCTATCTCAGGGAGTAAAAAGAAGCTCCACAGTTTACTTCTATTACACGTAAAAAAAATTTATTTACTTTGATGTCATGACATAGCATTCAGCTACTAAAAGGTCAGAACAAATATACCTCATTTAAGTCACAAAAGACACAAACTAAATTAAAAAAAAACCACACAAAAAAGAAAACAAACCACCAACAGAACATTATTAGAAAACAAGACTGACTGAAGAAAATGTATTTCCAAAGACTGCAGATAGCTTCCACTATCACATACATGCAGGGTGTGCCTTTGATGTAACATCCTATTATAGCTACATTTAAACTTACAATGGAATATTTTAGGAAAACTATCAAAGACTCACCACTGAATATTTTTAAGCATTCTATGCTCTGATTTAATCCATACAGCAAATGCTTTTAAACATTTTTTGCTACCACACCTCAAATAAACTAGAAAAATAAGCCCATTTTGGTACATCAGACTGAGCTGAGACTCTAGAAAAGGAAGGACTAAGCTGTTACAGAAATCACTAATACAGACATAGCCTAAGTTTTAATGAGTAATTATGAAAATTAGTGACAACTCATGTCTATATTAGCTCAAATTGGAAAACTTCATTAACAGTTCAGCCAAAAAGAATTGTGTCCTTGAACCAAACAGTCAAAATAGTTTTTAAGGTAAATGTCTCAGTAGCACTGTTTTATAATCATACTATATTTTATATCATGCCAGGGTTGGGTTTTTTGTTCGTCTACACAGATATACAGTTTATATACTGTAAAAAAAGGTTTACTAATCAGTTAAAATACACCGAAGCTGTGAATACGAACACCTGCAAAGAATTCTGTCATCCCACCTTGAACAAGTAAAAGTCTCTCTGCAGTGACTCATAGACAAACACACCTTCCCCCAATTGTTGCAAGAACAGAGAGCTCTTAGTCTTCCCTGAAGATCAATAAATCCTAGTTCTGTAAACGAATCTTGGATATAACATAAAAGCACTGTGTGACAGCATCAAATCAGACCAGTATTATTAAAAAAAAGCTGAAGAGATCTATTGTCCTCAGTAAAAAAGACAAAATGCATTAAAGTTTCTAGGAAATCAATTTAGTCATTCAGGAGGCTAAGCATTCACAACTCTGGAAGTAAATTTAAAGGGGATCATGAACAAAAAAAAATGTTCAGGAAACACAGTAGTTCATATGTTTGGATCTGTTACATTTATGAGAGTTTTTTTTTATTGCAATAATTTAGTCTAGTGTTTATTGAGTTTACTAAACTTATTCTGAGCCCTATAGCTACTCTATCATAGCTGTTATTAATTTATCCCACTTTATACTATTACATTTAAACTTAAGCCAGTGTTTCTGCTAGGTTTGCTCACATTTTCCGAGGGCATTTATTGCTAGTTTACTGAAATATCTTTCTTCACCTGCCCCTGAGTGCTATTACAGAATTTCTGACCGCAAATTCAAATATTTATACTGCCCCCTCCTGGAATTCAAGCTAGAGAGCACAAAATACCCAAACTTGGCAACATCTGCAGCCCAAGTATCATCACAGTTCTCACTAATGCGCCACCCACAAAAGTAAGGGGGAAAAAGCATTAATGCATTTTCACTTCAGTTTCCAACATGAGTTACAATTTGAACCTCAAGTAGGTATTTAATTCCAATGCTGTTAAAGACAAAGCAGAGAAAAAGGAAGTTATATTATACTTCTTGCTGCATCTTCCTGCTACTACTACAGAAATAGTAGTGTACGTTGTATGGTATAGCATCACCTAAAGCTCATTTCATTACTCATTTCATGCCACATCTACCTTAGAGGAAGAACCAATACAAAAGCATTTATAGGATATTTGTGTTTCAATCCTCTACATGCATTCAACCTACACAGAAGATTTTAATAATAAATCAAAATATGAAGAATATTTAAATATTTAAGATTTTTTCTATTCCAGTAAAAAGAGAAAAAGAAAAGTAGATCAAGCTGAAAGCCAAAGTGAATGAAAGCTCTGACTGAACTTATCGAATATATCACTAAAGCAGTCACTATGCAACTCAATTTCTACACCAGTTTTGAAGAACACATTTTCCCCAGGCATACAATGAACAGAGGCTACAAAACCTTCCTAAAAGACAAAGAATTTGTAGACTTGTACTTTAGCAATTATACTTGAAGTATTTGTCTCCCTTCCCAAACCCTCACAGTCTAATATCGGCAAGGGATTATTTCAATACACCAGCTGCTGGCCTATTTGGGGTGATCCAGTTCTTGCAGAACTTAAAGCAAAGTTCAGTCCTCTAGTGAGGTTCCCAAAAATCAACTGTAGCCAATTTTCAACTCCACGGTTTTCCTGTATGAAAACCAGAAATTTTGAAGAACCGATCTATCGCCTTCCACACAAGCAGATTGAGCACAGCAGTTTTCATTTTGGTTCTGAACCTATGGACAGAAAATACTTCTCAAAAGAATATATACATTTTCAGAGGTCCAGTCTGCATATTGTCCCAAGTTTTATCAGGTTTTATAATGGACATCAACAAGCAACAGTGAAATATCAAAATATTAGTACCAACTATGTTTGACATACTGCAGGGTGATTCATTTTGCAGACAAATGTACTAACACTGAATGCCTTGGTATTAAAATAATCAAACAATTCAAAAATTGTAAACTTACCATTTGAGGGACCCCAAAAATAACAACATTCGTATAATGGGAAAAAGAAACCTAAAACAGAATTTGAGAACAAGTCTTAATGAAAGTGGCATTTATATTTGGAGAAGTTCTTTTCCCCTAATCCCTCTAGCTGCACTCCTTTCAACAGGGATTTAGACCAAGAATAAGAAAGAAGATCCCATATTAACTTTGCATCACACAAAATTCCACATAAAGACAATTTATATTGCTGAACAGCAAAAAACTTCTACTGCCTGACCAAGACTACGGCATCAATTCTAGCAGCACAGAAAGTATTAAGAAAATACCAACATGATTTTACTCCAAAATTCCTGGTACGCACTTTACCCATTAGAAAATGCCACTCTTAACCAAAAACAAATCACCACCAAAAAAATCCAACCAAACAACACAAACAAAAAAAACCCCCACAACTTTGACAGGAATAGCAGGGGAAAGGCCCACATAAACATGACCCAAAAAAGTGCACCTCATTAAAGAAGCAATTGTGACTCAAATGACTGAAAATTGTGAAAAAGTCTCAGTTGCATACAAGTTACCTTAAAGCAACATTCAAAACCAGGTAATACATTGCACAGCTAGAAAAGGACACATCTAATGAAACGTCAGATGAGATTGTGATCTTGCACATTGAGTAAGAATCTTGTTACTGACTCTACAGAATCAGCTGCCAGTGAAGCCTGACATCACAGCACCCCACACCGTTCATCAGGCACAAGCACGATAATGCTCAAGAAGCCTGTACTGAAAAAGGACAGCACTTCACTGAAGCACAAAACCAGCAGAGCAGTGAGCTGTGCTGTGAGTCTAGTTTCTATGGGCTCAAGTACTTTTCTCAAAGCCCAATATAGCACCTTGTGGCCAGACAGCATTCTGGTTCTTTCAAGAAAGTATCACCAAATTATGGAAATATCTCAAACATCCCAGGTTCGTTCTCACATCCTTCACCACCTACCTTCCATAGGTCTGAAATATAAAATTTGGTGTTCTGATGTACCCCATCTCTCCATGCACAGTATCTGGAGTACCAGACTAGCCAAGGATTTAATTCATAACCAACAGCTTTGAATCCCCTTTTTGCAGCTGCTATCACCTACAAGGAAGGAAAGAAATCTTCACTTAGAAACAAAGAAAGTGTATTCATCTAAATACGAGCACAGAGTTAGTTCTGTTTACAATACAGGGCAAAGCTGTAAGCTTGTAGTATGTCTATAATTTATATAAAAGTTTAATTTAACATATTCATGACACTACCTTGGGATTAAAGAGTACCAAAACTGAACACCAAAATATTCTTACTTGAAGAGCCGTGATGGGTAGGCACTTGAGAGACCCCTGAATCAGAACCAAAGAGATGTACCAATAGAAAAAGTATGAATGTAGGTCAAGAATTTAAACGTGGGTTAAAAAATTGGCAAAAAAAAAACCCAGAACACATATAAATCTCACAGTATAGCTTTCATCCAATGCTAAGCTTCATGTATCATTTAAAAGGTAAAAGATAATTCAGATAACAAATGTATTTTCAGACATTCCTCTACATTAGGCACCAAGATTTAGAATTGTTAATCTGTATAGCGAATGTCATTAAACAAGATCAAAACATATTGATTTTTTGGAAAAAGAAGAAATTAAGGAAAATACAAAATGGCACCAGTTGCTAGAATTAAAGTTTAAGTGATAATTTAAAAGGCTACTGCCAAGTTTTTACCAGAAAAAAACACTGATGAACTATGAATTACAGAACAGACAAGGTGAAATCAGAAAGTAGTACACATTTCTCAACAGAACCTATCAAACAGCATTACCCGGATAGTGTGTTTCACACTATTAAAATAATGCATCTTGCATCATGCACACAGCATTTGCAAATATTATAAAATAGTCTCACATTTTTACCATATTGGAAATAAAAAGATTTACTCACCAATTACACCCCAGTAAGTGCTAAATATTTAAAAGCACCACAACAGAAGCTCAACCTTTTTCAGGACAGATGCATTAAGGCAACACCAACCATTCAATTTTAGGCACTTAACTCTCCAAGTAGTCTTCAATCTCCATTTAGACACACATATGTATACACACACAAAAATCAGAAATAAACATGCAGTACTTAGTCAAATAGGTGCCTCAGATGAGGGTCAACAGCCAGATGCTGAGCAGAGAGGACTTCAAAAACTGCAGTTCCCTTGTACCCACATGCTTTTCTCCATTTCCTACTCGGGAACAATCCCTTCTAAACCACCTTCACAGATTTGGTCTTCCAAATCAATTTTTTTTAGTGTGGACAAACGGTTGACTCATTCACACAAAATACGGACATGGTAGCATTCAAGAACTTACTTGCTTCCATCAAAAACTCACTTAGTGCACCATTCTGTGGCTAGAACAGACTTGAAGCAGATATTTACTAAGTGGTACACAAAACACAACTACAAAAAACCCCACACCATTCTCTACTGTACACCACCACATTTCACAAATCAGGGTTCAGACAATATCTGGGAAACATGGTATTGCTTTGGTGATTCTCACCATTTCCCTTGCCAATTATTCTGGTTTCACCACATTCATTTTGAAGCAAGGCAGCCAGCGCTGCACAAAGGCATGAAAGCTTCAGTTCTAACAATACCAGGAATTCTATTTTTGTAATCCATTGCTCATCGCTCATTCTCTCTTCCTGTTCTATCACCTTTATACAATAAGCATAGAGCTGCAGCTCCAAAAGCAGAGTGCTATTCTCATGCTAACCTCATGCAGCCTCACATGCTGCAGCTACAGACCTATGTGGAATCAGTTTCTTCTTAAGTATCCCAAAACTTCAATTGCATCTTTTCACGTGAATGGAGTACAATTCTGTCCAGCCAACAGGGTGAGGTTATCATTTTGTACACTACCTTGTCAAACTGCAGATAGGACTGACACAAAAGTATTGATTATTCACCTAAGTTGAATGTAAAACTTTCTCAGCTTCCAGCCTTTTTCTAAGGCTCAAAGAAAAATACTGGACACGAAAGACAAGGCATTCATATGTACAAAAAACAAACCAGCAGCCACAGTTAGAGCATTGTGCACACGTTTGAGAGGTGATACAAAACAAAGGTGATATCTGTAACTTACAATACGGCCATCCCCGCTACCAATGTCAACTAGGGAACCGCTTCTGTTTTCTAACATTTTCAGCACATTCTGGATCTGGGTAGAAGTTGCAGGAACAAAGGGCAGACACACTCTCCTCAGCGCAGGGGTCACAAAGGGGGTGACCACAGCATACAGGGCCACCAAGGTCCCACCAACACCGGCAGTGACCATCAGCCCCCAGCCTCTCCTTTGGGAGCTGGCTTCACATGCCTCCTGTGGGCCTGCTGCCTGGCTGTCCTCCACCAGTGCCTTCGACATCACACCTGAAGACAGATAGTAGAAAGACAGTTTTCTCCAATTTATCTTTATTATGTACTCACTTAAAGCAGTGTTTTGTATCATAGATAGGACAGCAGGAAAAAAAACCACAAACAAAAACAAACTTATATCCCTCTAACTATACCTAGACCCTAAGGAAACATTACTATTAGTGCTTTTGAGGAGCTGAAGCGCCAGGTTAGCTTTTCAGGGCAGTTTCCTTTTAGGCCTATGGCTCCCTCAGCCCGGCCGGGCGGCAGCGCGCCCGCCACAGATGAGGGGTAGCGCAGAGAGCGCCCTCCCCACCCGGGACTGCCCACAGCCCGCGCTCAGGGAGCCGTCCCTCAGCGGTTATCGTCCTTGCCTTCTGCAGGAACTTTTCCTCACAGCACAACGCTCCCCAGCTGCAAGGCCCTCCTCCCAGCCGAGCCTCCCCTTACCACATCGATCCCCCTCAGAATTATAGGCGTAGCCCCCCCCCCCTATTATTTATAGGGGAGGGCAATACCAATTCGCCAAACGGGGAGGGGGGGCGAAACCTTTCTGAAGGCGCTTATGAAAGGAGCGGCGCACACCCTTTCCCCGTGCCTCTGTCCCTCCTCTTTCGCGTCACCCGGCGCAGCTCGCTGCTGCCGCGCTTGGCGCCCGCTTTCTACCTAATGTAGTATCCCCCGCCCCCTCGGCTCCCCCCTCCCCGCAGCTGTGGGAAGGCCCCCGCGGCGCAAGGCCCACCCTGGCGGATGCTTCCAGAAAGGCCAGCCGGCGGCGCCGCGCACCTCCCGCCCGCCAAATAGGTCTCGCGGCTGCCGGCTGCGCAGGCGCGGCGCTGGCGTGCCCGGCGTGCGTGCCGCGTCACGGGGCGGTGTCCGGCTCGTGCTTGCCCGCAGCGGGGAGCGGCGGCAGCCATGTCGGCCATGGGGACTCTGGCCTTTGACGAATATGGGCGCCCCTTCCTCATCCTTAAGGACCAGGAGCGCAAGACGCGCCTCATGGGGCTCGAGGCGCTCAAGGTGAGCGGGGTGGAAGGGCCGGCGATCCGCCCGCGGGCCCTCGCTGGCCGGGCCGGGCCGCGCCATGCTGCCGTTAGGGGTGGGCGGGGAGCGGGGCGCCGTTAGGCCTTGGCGGGAGGATGGAGCCCTTTGGGATGAGGCGATCCTGGCCACGATGGTCTTCTGCCCCGGCCTCCGGCGCAGGTCGCCTGAAGTCTGATCTAGGCCTCTAGGCGCGGAAGGAGCGGAGGGGGAGAAGAAGCCATCGCCCGTGGGGCTGGGAATCCGCCACCCGGGGCGCAGAGCCTGTGGGGGTCTCCGTGCCCTGAGTCCTGTGGTCTTCGGGGCGGTCTGCCCTGCAGGTGGGGCTCCCCTCCGCCCCCAGCCCCCCTTTAGCCTTCCCCCATCTGAAGCCCCGTCCTTGTTCCCCAGAAAGGCAGCGGCTGGGCGGGTAGGCAGCCGTGTGTGGATGCGTGCGATTTGAACGCTGGTGGGAGAGGGGAGCAGAATTATACTGGCTTCTCGGTGCTTGATTGTGTTGCTTCCCCGCTTTAAACCCCGGGGCTGTCATTTCGGCTGCTCCACTTCGGTGTGCCTTGGCTGTGTGAGTGCAAGCTGTGCGAGAAAAGGCACGGGAAATGTTTCTGGGATAAAAGCAATACATGTACATTGATTTTATTGGTTTTTTAATTGAAATTGGCTGTTGTCAGTTAAATTGCAATATTTGCATTAGCTTTTTGTCCCCTCTATTTTTCTTAGCTTAATATTATGGCTTTGGGATGCATGATAATGATTTAATTTATTTCTCCTTTGTTTTATAGTCTCACATAATGGCAGCAAAGGCAGTAGCAAGTACTCTGAGAACATCCCTGGGGCCTAATGGTAATTGTGGAATAATTTTAATCGTTCTTTCTCAGTAATTGTTTTTGGGGTTTTTCTAGATTTTCATTCATGCTTTGAATATTATTATCTTTAGGCTTGGATAAAATGATGGTGGACAAAGATGGTGAGGTAACTGTGACAAATGATGGTGCTACCATCCTGAATATGATGGATGTGGATCACCAGATAGCCAAACTTATGGTGGAGCTGTCTAAATCTCAAGATGATGAGATTGGGGATGGAACTACCGGAGTTGTTGGTAAGAAAAGATTTAAATTTAGCTTGGCTTTTCCAGCTTTAAAATCAAGCTGCTTCAGCTGTTTTCAAAAATTTTGAAATTTTGTGTGAAGTAACAGTAGCTTTTCCATAGCATATTTTTAGAATATTTGCTGCTGAAGTATTCTTTTCAGTTCTTGTATTAGAAGTTTTTTAAATAAAAGTATACTTTTGTGTCTTTTCTAAGTATGTTTACATTAGAAGTCAGTGTTGCGACTCTTCTTTGTACTTTGAAAATTTTTCTGCACAATTTTTTTCCATAATTTTCTACCTGTCCCACTTTGGTGCCGCCCATGCTTCCTTTTGATCTAACATAATGCAGTTTTCTTTCCAAGCATAGCAAGTAGGAGGTTGTTCACAGCTATTTTGTCATCTAAGAAACATTGAACTGTTAAAATATTACAGAAAAAAAATTAAAAGCATACTTTTTAATCTTTTGATAATGTACTAAAAATGATCCTTCAATCTGTCAAAGAGTAAACATTGTTTTAAAATTTTGTTTTATAGTTTTGGCTGGAGCGTTATTGGAACAGGCTGAGCAATTACTAGACCGTGGTATTCACCCTATCAGAATAGCAGACGGTTATGAGCAGGCAGCCCGCATTGCTATTGAGCATCTCGACAAAATCAGTGACAGCTTTCCAGTTGATCCACAGAACATTGAACCTCTGATTCAGACAGCAAAGACAACGCTGGGCTCGAAAGTGTAAGTCACAAAAACTTCAGAAGAATATTTACATTTCCCTTAAAACCACTTTGAGTAGAGAGAAGAAATCCTGGCTTTTACTTGTGTTTTGATGGGTTATTAAATTGTTTGTATTATTGGAGTGGCTGCTGAAGGCTCTTCTATATTTGATTTTGGCTAATTTCTCAATGGTCCATGTCTCAGGATAAGAAATTGCAAATCCTTTTTCTGTAAAGGGTCAACTCCATGAGATGGAACAGATGCAAAAGTAATTTCATTCTAACCTGTTCTGTTACTTCCAGATTTGCTTCATAGCAAATTCCAAGAGTAATGCAAACCTTTTAAAAAGAATAATTATGTGCTATGTTTCAAACGTTTGTTTTGGTGTGTTCTTTCTCTTAAAAAAAAATTAAAAACTGTAGGATAGTTCCATAAGGGTATTTTTCATTATGTGATCTGTGTGTATTCTATAAATTCAGGCATTGTAAGGGTTTCATTTGCAGAGTTGTCTTAAAAGTGGTTTCTGTGACCCGAATGTTTCGTAGTAGCTAGTTCTCCTCACTTATTTCAAATCTGTATCTTGAGACTATGTTCACAAAGACTACTTAGACAAACTGTATTGTGTTTTCAGTTTTCTGCCACGTTTAGTTTCTTTTATTTCTGTGGTCTGAGTAGGACCACCTCTTAATGCATCATATGAAAGTTATTAGCTATAGTGATTCTTTTCTGTTCAAGATTGATAGAAACACTTTTCTTCCAAACTGTGGAAACATAACACAGCTTTACTTTTTTTTAATACAGAGTTAACCGTTGTCACAGACAAATGGCAGAAATTGCTGTAAATGCTGTGCTGACAGTAGCAGATATGGAACGTAAAGATGTTGATTTTGAGCTGATCAAAGTACAAGGCAAAGTTGGAGGTAGACTGGAAGATACGCAGTTGGTTAAAGGAGTGATCGTGGATAAAGATTTCAGTCATCCGCAGATGCCTAAAGTAAGTGATGCCCCTGTGTGAGTCTCTGTAATATCTTAAATAAGATTGTCTAGCCCACTTCAAATGCTGACCTAGCATTTCTTAAGTATTTAAACGGTGTTGTGGTTTGGCACCCATATATCAACAGAGAAAGGGGAGGGGAGCACTATTAAACTCTTCATGTTGGAAGAAACCAAGTTAGAATTTACAACAGTCCTTAGAAATTGAGGATTAGCTGGGGGGATTACTGTACAACTAAATGATGACAAGTGCACAGTTCTATGTTGAAGCAGAAATAATCATCCATAGTGTGTAATATGCTTAAGATGCTTAATGCAACTCAGTATCAAGAGATGTTTCTGCTGCTCTTAAGCTTTGAGTTATCCTGTTGTCATGTTGGGAACGCTCCAGAAGCTGTCCTTTTACTATATTTGGTGTAGGTAAGGTCTCCAAGTCTTTGTTCAGCCTACTCCGGGAAAGATGGAGGCAATTTTGAATTTCTACTAATTTGAAATACCTTTCTAATAGGTGGCACTTTATCCTCTAGAAAGGAAAACTGGTGGAAAGTGTCAGTCTTGTCAAACTTACTAAATCATGGCTGTGAAGATGAGTCACAGTGGATGGGAGGGCAAATAATGGTTTTGTTGAAGTTTTATTTGTTGGGTTTTTTTAAACCTAAACTATAAAAAGGCACCACTGGTAAAGATTGTTAAATACTTGAACAGTGTCTTGAAGCTGTTGAATTTCTTCTAGGTGGTTTAGAGAGATTTTTGATGGAATTGTTTGGGTATAGTTAGTTTCACTTCAGAATCAATCACATTATCTTTAAAAACACGGAGCTATGAAGGTATGTCCATATGTTGTACAAATATGGGAAAGAGGTGTTACTGAGGTCGGAACCTAACTTGATTTTATTTTTTTTTAAACTGTACAGGAGCTTAAAGATGTTAAAATTGCAATCCTTACTTGTCCATTTGAACCACCTAAGCCTAAAACCAAGCATAAGCTTGATGTCACATCTGTGGAAGATTACAAGGCACTGCAGAAATACGAAAAGGAGAAGTTTGAAGAGATGGTGAAACAGGTAGTCTTTAGGATTATTTCTGGTTTTGGTGTTTTTCATAGCATTTACACAAAATAGCATAGTGCATAGATTTATTTCTGGAAGTGAGCTAATGATCCAGAGAGGAGCAACATAAAAGCAGTTGTAAGGCTATGAACCAAATTTAAGTTCATCTAAGTAAGAGGTACACCCCGCTTTGAAGTTTACCTTCATTTCTGTGTGCGGCAGGTGGTTCTTTTTCAGACATGTTTTGATAAAGTTAAGCAGATTAAAACCATTAAAACCATTAATAAATTGTTTTTCATTCCTGGGTTAGTTCCGATCAGAAGATTGATGTTGTGTGTTGCTTTCAGATAAAAGACACTGGTGCAAATCTTGCTATTTGCCAGTGGGGTTTTGATGACGAGGCAAATCACTTGCTGCTCCAGAATGAGCTGCCTGCTGTTCGTTGGGTTGGTGGACCTGAAATAGAAGTAAGTAAAATCTTCCAAAATTGGGCTTTGTACCAGTTCTCAAACATCTGTTAAGTAATATGCTGTGCCAATAAGAAGTTCAGGCTTTCTGGCTAGAGCTGCATACTCGTGCATATCTGAAAATCACTGGGGATCTGTGGGAAGAACATGGAATGAATGGGATTATTCTTTATCATTGGAGTGTATGTGTACTACTTGTTAAAAGTTTTATGTGGCTGGAAATGTTTCTGCTTTA